GCCAAACTTATGGCATAGACTAACCAGAACATCAGGGAAATACACCACAAAAAGGGACTTTAAATTAACCAGACACCCAGAAGTACAAAGTGGAATGAAACAAAAAAAAGTTTTTTTTTCTTATAAAATTCCCAATAAATAGTCAACTAATCCTTCCTTGAAGGTTTCTAGTGACAGAGAACTCACCAAGCTATTTTCTTCTTTCACCAAAGGTTAAATATTCTAATTTTGGAATTAAATTATTAGAATTTTTAAAAATCCTCCTTTTAACTTCCCCAGTTTTCCCCTCCAAGGCCAAGAAAAACAAGAAGAATCTCTCTTCCACATAATGGATCTTTAAATATTTGAAGATGGCTTTTGTTTCTCCTCTATCACCAAACTTTTTCCAAGCTTTCCTTTTGTAGCAGTCTCCTTTTGAGTCCCCTTCACCATTATAACAACCCTTCTCTAAAGGTACTCTAGCTTCTTAATCCTTCTTAAAATGTGTTGACCAAAACTGGACACACAACAGATATGAATTAGTTAGGAAAGAACATAGAAGAACCTATCATCAATTTTACACCTTCAAATCTTAGGTCTGTAGCAATCTGTGATTCAACACAATTCCTACTAGTTATGAAGGATTTATGCTTACCATGTCATTGTTAGGCATCTCTGAGGACATAATGTAAGCATGGTAACTATTGTTCTTGCCTGCCATCATTGTTTCAAACAATTGATATAAAAGTTCAAGGTATTACAGTGACAATGAACAAATATAAATTTATATTTATATTTATATATTTATATTAGAAAACTATGACTAAAATGGCAAAATAAATACTGACCAAGAATACATTTTTAAAATTAGAAAACTGCAGACTAGATAGAACTAGTATAAATCTTACAAAGAGGTGTTTATTAATTCCATTGGCTCCCTATCACTTCCAGGATCAAATATAAAATTCTGTCTGGTATCCAAAGTCTTTTACAACCTTGTTCCTGGCCTCTACCTTTCCAGTCTTCTTGTAATTTACTCTCCTCTATGTACTCTAAGATTCAGCGACACTGGCCTCCTTACTGTTCCTTGCACAAGGCACTCCAATCTCCACATTCCAAGTATTTTCACTAGCTGTCTGTCTCCCTCTCCTAGAATACTTCTACCCACCCAGTCTCTGCCTCCTGGCTCCCTTCAAGTCCCAGCTAAAATCCTATTTTTATAAGAAGCCTTTGTTGATCCACCTTAATGCTAATGCCTAGCCTCCATCGATTATTTCCAATTTATCCTGTATATGTCTTGTTTGTACATAGTTGTATTCATATTATCTTTCATTAGACTGTAAGCTCCTTGAGAGTAGGAATTGCCTTTTGCTCCTTTTTTTTCGTATCTCTAGCATTTAGCACTGTGCCTGCCACATAGCAGATGTTAAATCAATGCTTGTTGACTAACTAAAAAAGAAATTGCTGTCAATGAGTCACCTCTAAAAAGATTTCTCAACCTGGTCCATAGCTGGCTGAAAACATTTCTATGAGATGTTGGGTTTCTCATGGACTAAATTCCACCCCTAATAAGTTGTCAAACTCAGAGAAAAGGAACAAGAAGGAAGAATGTTACTTTTTTTATTCATTAACAGAGTTCTTTTGTAGTCATAATTGCTAAGGCAGGAAAAGTTCACTTTCATCATTTCAAATAGCTCTTTCCCAGGATCACCCCATGCAACATTAAAAACCACCATTTATTTCCCATTAGTAAGCTTTAATTAAAATGAATATGTATCATCGCTTACAGCAATTGCATCTGTAAGAAATGCATAAGTAAATATGAATCTTGACTAGAATATTCCAAATGACAATTTCCAACCAAATCAGCATTTTGATATCATTTTAAAGAGTTTTTTTCCCCTGACAGCTTTTAGAATTTTCCCAGTCTCCTAAAATAACTAGAATTTCATGAAAACACTTACAATAAAAAGTTACCAAGCTAGCTAAAATCTATTGTATTGATCAGAGAAAGTAGCATTCTAAAACATGAATAATGACCTCATGTGCTTTGGCCCATTGGGTACTGTTGTATATTTTTAGTTCAGAGCTTCTGAACAACAGCTCTGTGAGTGAATGGAATTCTTACTATTTTAAAGAATTAGGCTATTGCAAAATTCTCTAGTTTATAGTATAATCTTAATAAAATCAGTACCATTTCATTTAAATTAGTAAAAATAATATATTTCCCAAAGTCCTAATTTAAGCCTTCGAAGAAAAGGAAAATGTGTAATTTTGGGAATGTTTTCTTCTATACAGTTTTTAAGTTTTTCCCTTGTTCTCTTCTACTAGATAGTATAAAAGAAAGCCAATGAATTAGAAGATGAGGATTTGTGAAGTGCAAAAGAAGCTAACTAGTCTTTGAGTGTGGTCATAACAGACTATCCTAATTATCTATAACTATCAGCCACAACTTGTGGAAAATGTTAAGGTGGGCCAGCTGCTAGGTTACTTCATTAACCCAGTTTTCCTGAAAATGTGGGAGAAACATGAGAAATTAAGTCCACCAATAGCTTTACCTCCCAGAAGATGAAATTCTTTTGGCATGTTCTGAGGCTTCCAAGAAAAAGGTTATGTGAATATTTAGTAAGAAGATCAAACTATCAGCATTGCCATTCCTATGAGATAAGCTATATACTACATAGCCATGGCATGATATGACAGTTACAGCTTTTCATCTCTACCTCCACCTCCTTCCTCCTACTGCCCTTTGTATATGAATTGGGATATGGTACAACTTTGATATTTAAAAGCTTTTTATTTTTCCTTCTTTTTCCTCAGGACAAACTACACATCCCTTTTCATTTGGAAAAGTTTATTTAAGTACAACAATGATCAAAAGAACTACTGAAGTTCACAAAACTTTGCAAATGATTCTTTATTGAAAGCCACCTTCTAAGAATAATAATTCTATTTCATTTTATTATTTTGCAAAGCACTTGAATTCTTACTATACATCTCAAAAGAAAATCTGATGTGGAATACTAAAGATGACTGAAGAAAAGCAGTTTGCAAAAATTGTCTAAATTTTACAAAAAGTTGTCATAATCCAAAATTCTAAAATATCTGCTATTGTAGTTTTGGTTATCATTAAATGTTCACATTACTTGTTCAAAGGTAAACACTATAGATGCTTCATGTTGAACTTGGAGTTTCATAAACATGAAAAAATAATTCAAAGAAATAAATCATTGCAACATTTTAAATCCATTGGAAATAGGACTTTCACATTTAAGAATGGTGTTTTAAAATATTATGAGGTGTTCAAATTGTGGGGGTATCAAAATTCAAGTTCTCTTATGTTACTGGTTGTCTAGATACTTTTTACAAAACTCTGGGACTTCTGGAAAGAAATAATTCTTAATCATTTTATGCCAGTCTCTACAGAAGCCCTCTCATAGTAGGAAACCTATTAGAGGACCAGGCTGATCACTTTCTTAATTGCAAGCAGTGGTGTTAAATGAAAGGATTCAGAAAACTCAGATAAGTCTTCAACTCCACAAGGTCTAAAAGTTACTTTCACATGGCCTTTCTCTATTCAGTTACCATATTTGAAATTCTTATACCTCAAGACATCACAAGGAATGAGAGTTTTTAACATAGTATTGGTATAGTGAAGTATAGAACCATATTTCCTACCTAGGCTAACTTTCTAAGAAGTTTTCTATTTTTACTTGTGGCACAGTTACAAGGACCTGTACTGCCCATTCAGTAGGAAGATTTGAGACGTCTCAGAGTACTAACATCTTTATTTGCATTCTTTCATATATATGGAATTCAATATACTGTAAAACGTTGCTCTTAAAGGCTTCCAAAAAACTTTTTTAAAAAAAATATTACCCCAAAACAATCACTTTGCATACTATATCCAAATCTATGAAATA